CTATCCTCCCCTGCCTTTACACTTCACCCGTCTCCTCACGTACCCTTTGAAAACTTACCTCAAGCTCCACCCCCTTTTAAAGGAGGGGGAGGCACTTTAGGCAACAGTTTTCTGAAGCATCTCTCCCCCTAGTTTAAATCTTGTTGCAGCAAGGTTTAACAGAAGTGAGGAGGCACTGGGCTGCCTGTCCCCAGTGTTGTACACTCACGTGCCTGCCTGCCCTTTGTCATGCTGGAGTTGGTGTGGCCACCTACTGGCGGCCACGTGAACTACACTGTGACAACAGCATTACATTTTTATCTATATAGGAGGGTGAAGACAGGTATCCTGGTCCTAAGCTGCAAAGTGCTTTAAAGCCACCAATGGTGCCATTCTGTTCTCTTGAAAGCATGTTGCAGCACAGGATTAGAAGATTGGAAGAGGTGCCCAGTTATCTGAGCACCACACGGACATTTTCAGATATTGCACATGGCACTGTGAGATGGGTACATATGTGCAATGCTGGGTTGCAAGTATACAGCCTGTAAATACTTAAGAGGTAGGTTTCCAGCTCAGCTCCAGTGGCTAAACTGTGGCTCACCTGTTCAATTTCCCCGTTTGGAAAAAAAAATTGTATGCATGCATATTTGCTTCAAAATCATTTGATTAATCAGTCAATTTATCAGTTCAAAAGCAGGTGATTAACCAACAACGTTTCTGCAACTAGCAACAGGATTCATATCCATCATCACACAAATACCTTTGTGAGTCATGGCAATCTCAGAGGGAGAAGACTGTCGGTTTTACACACTCCGTGTTATGGGTAGTGGTAGGGAGGGTGGGTGGGTGGGTGGAGTGGAGGAGTGTGTGTGCTTGGTGATGGCATTATTTTCAGTCACTTCTCAAGCTCATTTTTGCTGCTGTTGACAACATCCTACAGTGATTTATATATTTACCCCGTATTGATTGTTTATACGAGGTAGTCGTGAGACAGTCTGTGATCAATGCAATAAACAGGACTTGCTACAGAGCAGCTGAGTGATTTGCCATGTCTCAAGGCAGACGTGGGCTTTTAGGGAAGACGAGAAGGAATGACAATGCAATAGCCTTGGACTGCTTTTTCCAGACAGCCTCGTCCAGGCATGGGAAGGGGGGGGGGTGAGCAGCATGAATAAGAAAAGGATGAAGGGAGCTTATGGGGGTTAATTAACTAACAAGGAGAAAGAATCTGATCCTGCCTCTTTGAGGCATACGATGTGGTTGTGTCTTGGTCAGGAGTTGCTGTTCATAGTAGCTTTCTCATGGAAAAATCCTTGATGGTCACAAACTTTTACATGATATTCCTGTGATGTGGAGACTAACAGACAGACCACAAAAGTAGACACACACCTCCCTAAGCAAAGAGTCTTGTACTTTAAGATTGGAAGGATACAAATCCGTGATCCATTACTCAGTGGTCTGAAGATGTAATTGTCCTGTATGCATTTCCACGTGTATCTGTGCTGGGGCCAGGGGTAACCCGTGAAATGCGGTCCAGGTTCGAAAGGTTCCGCTGGGAGTCAGTCCGACAGGGCAAAGGCAGGACACAAGGCAGGAAACCAGGCAAGGACAGGTACAGGATCTCAGGCAGGTTCTAGCATACAGCAATGTTGCTCCCGCAACCTGGGGCAGGGTCCAACAGCCTTTATCTTTGTTGGGGTAACGGCTGCTCCTGATCCCCAGGCGACTCACCTCCCCGTTTCGCCCAAAGGCGAGCACTCCTCCTGTGAATACTCAGGTCTCTCCTTCTCTCAGACCTTAATCTCTGCAACTCAGGAGACGTCGGTGGGTTACTAGACCCAGAGGCCACCTCAGCCTCCCCTGACCAAACCAGTAGTGGAACAGCTGCAAGTGATGGCGCAGCTGAAGGTCACCAGGTAATCCCTGCATCTGGAGCCAGGGCAGGCTCAGGCCCCTGACTCAGCCCAGCTGGTGTTTGCTGCAGGGGCACCTGTGCAGACTGGGACTCCTCAGGATCAGGCCCCAGACTTGGTTCAGATGATGCCTGAGGCAAAGGATCCAGTGCAGACTGAGTCTCCTCTGGTTCCAAGTCCGAGCCCGAGTCCCAGGCCATCACAGTATCTTAAGAACATAAGAGCCCTGCTGGACCAGACCAAAGACCCATCTAGTCCAGCATCCCTTCTCACAGTGGACAACCAAATGCTCATAGAAAGCAAATAAGCAACACCTGGACACAACAGCCCTCTCCTCACCTGTGATCCCCAACAATTGGTATTCAGAGGCAAGCTGCCTCTTACAGTGAAGACAGAATGTAGCTGTCAGGGTCAGTAGCCTCTATGAATTTGTCTAATCCTCTTTTTCAGGCTGGTGGCCATCACAAGATCTTGGGGGAGCAAATTTCAAAGTCTGTGCTCTGTGGAGTGGAATCTGTTCCACCAGGGCTACTGAGGCTCAGCCCTCCCAATGAGAATGTCAAGCAATTAAAAACAAACCCAAAACCTCAAAGCTAGTCACATTTTATACTTCCAGAAGCTGGAAAACCCGTTGGCATTTCAGTGTGAATTTTTCAGAATAAACACACTTTTGTATGACGTTTTGATGGCTGCACCCATTTTTTGCAACAGCAAAAACCACAAATATACTGCATTTTTGTGTTATTTTTACCAAAAGATTTCCCCATACACCCTCACACACATTGGCTGGTTGGAGAACTGTACTGTACTGCAAGTTCAGAGGAGTGCGAATTTGTGTTTCGGTTCTCGTATTGTTTCAGCAAATGTGAATTCGATAGATTTACCTTAAATGCAAACTGAATCAAGGCTCTTCTCTCCCCCAACCCTGCTTGAGACTCTCTATCCAGGCCACATCCCTCAGCAGCCCTGCTCTGCATTCGATTGCTTCCTCCTGATTGGAATGTGCCTTTCAACTGTGCTTGTGCTTCTTGCTTGCCTGGATGGAGAGACGAGTGCGCATGTGTAGGAAGCAACTACTTTCATGGAACTGGAACGTACCGTATTTTCCTGTCTATAAGATGATATTTTTTCCTTAGTACTAACAGTCAAAAATTGCAGTTGGTCTTATGCACAGATAGCAGAGGTGGGAACGAGCGATTGGCGGCAGCAGCCAGCAGGAGATTTGCTGTGGCGGTTGGGCGTGTGATTGGTTGCTGTGGCAAGGCCTGCTGAGGATTGGCTGTGGCTTTGACAATTGGGCTGTTGATTGACGTCAGCACTGAGGTGTGCAAGCAATTGGCTTTGGTTCCATTGAGTGGGCAGGTGGGATTTTGGTGCTGAGCGTACAGACAATTATTGGCCGCGGTGATGCATGCAATTTCCCTTGGCGGTCTGGCCATGGAGCGATTGTTGGCGGTTTCCCCCCTCCAAGGAAAAGCTCCACAACTCTGGGCAATCTCCCCCCCACACAAAAAGGCTCAACACCTTTGGGCAATCCCCCCCCCCATTTTTTGTTGTGTTTCCAAAAAACAGGGGTCGTTTTATACATGGGGTTATACACAGAAAAATATGGTACTTTACTGCCCAAAATAAAGTCACGCCTGTTGCTCTGGCCACCTCTGCCTCATCCACCTCTTGCCTCTGGCGACACTCGCCACTGGCATGCAACTCCTCCCGCCCCCCAGAAAGGCTTCCCATGAAGAAACACAGCCCTCAGGCTGAAAAAGGTTCCCCACCCCTGAGTCTAGCATCACCGTGCCAGCAGTTACCAATTTTAAAAGCTGTCATTGCTTCTGAATTGATGGTCCAAAGAGCAATTTGCTGGTCCTTGTTATTCTTTTGCATAAATGAAAGATTAGCAGTATTCAACCACAATTTGAGTTCCTGAAAATTGCTTTGGCAGAGAAAGATGACATGAAGTTCATTATTACATTGCTGTTAACAAGTCTCTCTCTCCCTGCCCCCCACCCCCAATATTTTCAGGAAAATCTAAGAGGTGGCAGAGAGTCATATTTTACCTTGAGCTTAATTCCTTACACCAAGCTGTTTTTCTTCTTAATGTGTGGTGCTGTCTCATTAAAACAATACAAAGGGGCATTTCAGATTTCTGTGTACAGTGAGACTCAAATGGCTCATTACAGTCTCATTCCCGGTTATCTCTTGAGTATGCAAATGTAGCCACAGTCCTCTATACATTTTGGCTACTCAATTCAAACGTGTTACAAAAGGCTGTCTCAGCGATAACTGGTTTGTGGTGGGCAGGTGGGCAGGCTGGTGCTTTTGTTGGTTGACATCATTTGAACTTGAAGCAGAATTCACCAGCCACTGGAGTTAAGCAGACCCAGAGTTGGGGCACAATCTTGCGAAAACGTGGCATACAAATAAACAGATGGGATGAGATGAACTTAGGCCTCCTCCCTCCCAACCTTGGATTCACAGATATTTCCATGGCACCAATGAAGCTTTTCATGGAAATAAGAGATACACCTATGAAATAGCAGCCTTGCTAATCTGTCCAGCAGAGTTGACTTTTTTTTTTAACCAAACATTGATCCAAGTCTGCATTTTCCTCCAAACATCTGTTTTCCCTTTTGAATAACGTGGTGAGTCTGTCGCGAATTCCTCGCGGCGCTTTTTAGCGAAACGCTCAGAGTCCCAGGTTTCTTTTCAGTGCAGTCTTTTTAATGTGAGCTATATACAAGTATTTACAAAAACAGTCCATACAGAGTACCTGCGCCTTAAGGCAAACAAATACTCTCCACCACAGCACCACCACACCACAGCACAACCACCACACTTACTGTTGAGCAGGCTTTCCTTTTTAAAACAGGTGATAGCCAATCACATTAATCACATTCCTGCTGAGTCACTCTGACCCAGCACTTCACAGAGTATTGCATCAGCCTGTTGAAGCCTGCAGACTTGCTCAGTATCCTGCGAATCCCAACACTCCTCCTTAAGTCAAAGGCTTGAGACCTAATAATTCTCTTAAGTCTCGAAATTTAGGAGCATCCAAACATTTTGTATACAAATCCGCCACATTACATTTTGTGTTACAGTGCTGTACCTTTAACACATTTCTTTCACATTTCCGTATCTTATAGCAATATGTTTACTCTTGCTCTTAAAGTTCTGTTGGTTAGCAAGCTGTTGTGCAGCCATGTTGTCACTTAGCACAGTGATTGGCATTTCAGAAGGTATTCCAAGCTCTTTTGTTAGACAAGCAAACCACTCTATTTGTGACACACATTCGCTTATGGCTGAGTACTCTGCTTCACAAGTACTTGTGGCAACAAATGTTTGTTTCTGGGATTTCCACTGAACCAGGGCATTTCCAATATATATGGCATAGCCAGTGGTAGACTTTCCATTTTCTCTGTCCCCCCAGCTGGCATCAGCGTATGCATACACTTGCTGATCATATCCTGTATCCAGCACCAGTTTGTAATCTTTTGTGCCTTTCAGATACCTTAGGATTCTTTTAAGTGCTACCCAATCTCTCTGAGCCGGGTCTGCACTTCTTTGGCTTAACATGTGCACTGCCAATGTTATGTCGGGTCTTGTCCAACTACTTAAACATAACAGAGAACCCAACAGAGAATGAAACGCTGTTGCATTCTCACATTTTTGTCCTTCTGGTTCATTTTTGTACTGGGTAGTTATGGGAGTGTCAACCTCATTTGCCCTCTCCATTCCATATGTCTTCAGTAACTTTTCGATTTTTTTCTTCTGACTCATTTCTCTCTCTCTTTTTTTATAAAATATTTATTGAGATTTTCAAAGTATTACAAAATAAAAATAAAAAAGAAGAAAATACAAAATAAAAATGGTTAAAAACAATTCAATCTTTCCATTACTTATTTTTCATTAGCTTATTTCCTGGACTTCCTCACGCCTCCCTTTTTTGTATTCCAGTTCGGTTTGTTGGTTCAGCAAATCCTTACCCTCTTTGTTTATCCTAGTCTTTAATCTTAAGATATTGTAACGTTAAATTTTTACCTATTAATAATCCATTTTTCATATTCCCTTATAGTATTACAGCTGAAAACCACTTAATTTCTATCCAACATCATTCTAACATTCATTAATTTTACAATATTTCTGTAGATAGTCTTTAAATTTCTTCCAATCTTCTTCCACCAACTCTTCTCCCTGGTCTCGGATTCTGCCAGTCATTTCCGCCAGTTCCATATAGTCCATCACCTTCATCTGCCATTCTTCCAGAGTGGGTAGATCTTGTGTCTTCCAATACCTTGCAATGAGTATTCTTGCTGCTGTTGTGGCATACATAAAAAAAGTTCTATCCTTCTTTGGCACCAATTGGCCGACTATGCCCAGGAGAAAGGCCTCTGGTTTCTTCAAGAAGGTATATTTGAATACCTTTTTCAATTCATTATAGATCATCTCCCAGAAAGCCTTAATCCTTGGGCACGTCCACCAAAGGTGAAAGAATGTACCTTCAGTTTCTTTACATTTCCAACATTTATTATCGGGCAAATGATAGATTTTTGCAAGCTTGACTGGGGTCATGTACCACCTGTATATCATTTTCATAATATTCTCTCTTAGGGCATTGCATGCCGTAAACTTCATACCTGTGGTCCATAACTGTTCCCAGTTAGCCATCATTATGTTATGTCCAACATCTTGTGCCCATTTAATCATAGCAGATTTCACCGTTTCATCCTGAGTATTCCATTTCAACAGCAAGTTATACATCTTTGACAAAATCTTAGTTTTGGGTTCTAACAGTTCTGTTTCTAATTTTGATTTTTCCACCTGGAAACCAATTTTCTTGTCCGAATTATATGCCTCCATTATCTGATAATAATGAAGCCAATCTCGCACTTTGTTTTTTAGTTTCTCAAAACTCTGCAATTTCAGTCTATCTCCCTCTTATTCCAGAATTTCCCAATATTTCGGCCACTTGGCCTCCATATTGAGCTTTTTCTGTGCTTTTGCTTCCATCGGTGACAACCACCTTGGGGTTTTGTTTTCCAATAAATCCTTATATCTTACGCCCTCTTCATTTCTCTGAACCTCTACTCCTAAGTAATTCTGAATCTCTCCCAAATACTTCAGTTTGTATTTGTTACCTAGGCTGTTTATAAACCAAGACACTTGCTTTTGTGCAGTTGTTATTAGACAGATATCATCAACATACAAAAGTAAATAACAAACATTTCCTTGCACCATTGCTGAATATAAACAGGAATCAGCCAGGCTTTGTTTGAATCCCATCTTTTTCAAAGTTGTGTCTATGCATTCATGCCATAGACGTGCACTTTGGTGTAAACCGTATAGTGCCCTTTGCAGCTTTAACATCATGCTGTCTTTTTCCAGCTCATAACCTGGTATTTGCTGTAAATACACCTCAGCATCAATAGGAGCATTTAAATATGCTGAGGCAACATCAAAATGATTAACTTTTAACCCTCTCAGACTTGCCATTGCTAAAACTGATTTTACTGTTTCAGCCTTTGCTGCTGGGGCAAACACTTCATCATAATGTATCATTTTTCTTTGTGTAAAGCCCCTTGCAACCAGCCTGGCTTTCCTCTGACAACTACCATCAGCCAGCTTTTTCACTTTAAAAACCCACTTACAGCTTATGGGCTTTTTACCTTCAGGCAATTCTGCAGGTACAAACACACTGTTGTTTAGCAGAGAGTTATACTCTGCCTGCATTGCCTTTAACCACGCCTCTTTCTCTACAGTAGGTAACTCTTGCACTTCTTCAAAGTTTTCTGGCTCAGTTACACAAACCTGGTTTATGGTGGCTGGGAAACCATAACGGTCTGGAGGTTGACCTTTATTACTTCTTGCAGACCTCCTTGGTTCATTAATCTCACCCCCTGGGCTACCTTCAGGACTGCTTTTGGGTAGGATTGATTCTGGAGATTTACCTCCTCCTGTCCCTGTTACACTTTCTTCCCCCCCCCCTGCTCCATGCTAGCAGCTGGAGAAAAATGCTCAACCTTTACCTCCTCCCTTTCAGTTTCTCTGGGAGAGCTGCCAATTTTTAGCTTCGGGATCTGTCCTTCTAGTGAGGGCTGATTTCCTTCAGAATGGATCGGTTTGATCTTCTTGCAGTCCATGGGACTCTCAGGAGTCTCCTCCAGCACCATAATTCAAAAGCATCAATTCTTCGGCGATCAGCCTTCTTTATGGTCCAGCTCTCACTTCCATACATCACTACTGGGAAAACCATAGCTTTTACTATACGGACCGTTGTTGGAAATCAGACTGTAGGATTTTTAAATTCCCGTATTTTTGTTTTAGCAGCCAGTAGTAAAATAGCGAACTGTTACCAGATAGAAATAAGGCAAGAGTATTCAGATTCTGTCAAGGATGCAAGTTAGCTCTCAACGCTTCTTCATTAGCTTCCATTAATGCTAATGAGAACAATGCTGTTTGCCCGTGGAAGGGAGAATATAGAGCCCTCTGTTGATATATATTTATGAACGTAGATATGTTTATTCCTTTAGCTAATTTAAAACCCTACCATCTGTAGCTTTAAATTTATTCATTGATGCCTGCAAATTGAAAGAGGCAGCATGGAGCCAACATTAATTTAGAGGGAGCAATCTGATTATGCGGTGAAATATGTCAGTCATAAGGCACAAAATGAAGGTTGCAATTTCGCTTCCCCTTTGCCAAGATTAGAGAGACACCAGGCAGAGCTCGATGTTATTGCGTTGAGATCAATTGTTTGGGGAGAGGTTAAAATGCACAGGTTAAAAATTTATGGCACAATTATCAACAGGATCATTAGTGTCACAAAGGGTCCCTATTATTCTCCATAAGCACCTGATCAGCCTTAATGCTTTTATTAAAAAGAGTGGATTCCTAGAACAATAGCTTAATTTGGAGCAGGGTGAACCTCCTTGCCTGAAATAGTGAGGGAGTAGTCTAGGTGTGCTCTGGTCCATGGGGTCACGAAGAGTCGGACACAACTAAACGACTAAACAACAACAACAGTCTAGGTGTGGCAATAGCCCTTCCTTTTAACCACAGTAAAGACTCCTACGGCACTGTGAAACACAGACAAATGCACTGTGGCATAATCTTCTGTAGGTTAGGAGCCATTTCATTAGATGTGTGGAATATGCCTGGCAAATTGGGCTATAGCCCATAAAAGCTTATGCCTGTGATGTTGCCAGTGCACTGAGAGATACTTGCATCTGGGAGACAGATGCTCAAAGATGAAGCACCAGTATTGCAACAGATGCAGGATAGACAATGCACAAATTCAGCTGTGCCCATGTACAGCTCATTTTCTCTGTACAGTGATACTTTGGTTCTCAAACTCAATTCATTCCGGAAGTCCGTTCCAAAACCAAAGCGTTCCAAAACCAAGACGTGCTTTCCCATAGAAAGTAATGCAAAATGGATTAATCCGTTCCGGACTTTTAAAAACAACCCCTAAAACAGCAACTTAACATACATTTTACTATCGAATGAGACCATTGGTCCATAAAATGAAAGCAATAAACGATGTACTGCAGTCACACAACCAATCTATCAGTAGCTGAACTGGGTTCCACATAGTCACAAAAACGAAACAAAAAGAGCAGCAAAAACAAAAATGCAAAATAAAAGCAAAACCAGACAGACCTCAGAGTAACACTCAAAACAGATGTGTGGCACTCAAATAGGAAGTGTAACACTCAAAACGGAGCACGTTCGGCTTCCGAAAAAAGCTCACAAACCAGAACACTTACTTCCGGGTTTGCAGTGTTTGGGTTCCAAGTTGTTTGAGCACCAAGGCGTTTGAGAACCAAGGTACCGCTGTACACTGCTTTCCCAAATATATTGCTCTCAGTACAGTTCGCAACACAGCAACATGACATCAGAGCAACCAAGCCCATGGCCTGGCAATACCGCTATCTCCCTCAATCTCCTCTGAATGTTCATGCATTCTGTAAAGACCACTTGCCTCTTTAAGTGCCACTGCATGATCCATTTAATACACAACATTTTATTCTGCTGAAGATGTGATCGGGAACCCAACATGGGCAAGCTTCCCTTTCCTTACTGAAAGTGTGAGCGCTGTAAGTGCTAACAGCTGCACAAATAAAGAGGGCGGGAGTAGCTAACCACAGCCACTGACCACTTACATGGAGAACGTTGCATTTCCCAAGGCACAATAGCCTGTTTTCCTTTTCCATGCCAGCGAAGGCCGCAGTCTCTCAGGCTATGGCTGTAAACCTTGTTGATTCAAGGCACCAAGCCTCCAACATACGTCACACTGACCACTGGAGCATGTGTGTAATGGATCCCATCAATCCAGCTTGGGGTGAAGTCATACTGGGGACCAGTTCATAGACCCAAGCTGGACCTACACTGACCTGTTCACGAACGACTATTATAGATAGATAAAAGAGGATATACTCGACTCGACTATTTTGAGGACAGGTTACAGCAATGTATAAAAGCCATAGCAGAAATTGGTAACTGAACAGGTGATGAGAAGGGGTGAATGTATTTTGAAATGAAAGCTGGAAAAAGTTATTGTATTGGGAGCAGTAAAGGAGGGAGGAAGCTAGAGGGGACATCTTGGGTGGGTGGGAAGTCAGCTTTTAAATGTGTATTGAATTTGTATTAATTTGGTGACAGTTTGTGAAAAATTATGGAAAATCAATAAAAATAATTGGCAAAACAAAACACAAAAAACCCCCACCGACCTGTTTAACGTTATTTCCCCCTATTAGAATGATATTAGATATGTTGTTCTA